CATTGCCTTATGATGGACTCCAAATTACACACTGTCTGACTCCAGCATCCTGAGTCAGGAGTACTGGAAAGACAGTAAGCTCTATGTACAAGCTAGCCTAAACTTCAGGGCCAAATCAATAAGGCTCACTCCATCAGACAGGCTTAGGCAGGGTTTGTGGGTATGCCCCCTCAGTATTGCTTTAATGCTGCTGGTCTTGTCATTGAGCACATCTTTAGCACCTGGAGACAGTGGGTAAATTAGAAAGAGAGAGTGCAAGCAGAAGCTTATGGCTGCCAAGGCTAGTGGCTGGATGTGATATAAGCAGGGTACTTGGTATCATTTTTGTGTGTGTGTCCCTGTGCTGGGAAGCAACTTTGACACATACTGTATGTATTACTTTCCTAGGGCTGCCATAACAAAGCACCACAAACTGGGTTGTACGTAACAGAAATTCATTCTATCACAGTTCTAGAGGCTAGAAGTACAAAATCAAGGTGTTAGTAGGGCTATGATTCCTCTGAAGGCTCAAGAGGAGAAAACTTCCTTTCTTCTCCCAGCTTCTGGTACCCTACATGTTCCTTGGTTTGTGGCAGCATAACCCCAATCTCTGCCTCCATTTTCACATGATTTTCTCCCCTCTGTGCCTGTGTCTCTTCTCTTCTTATAAAGACAGAAGTCATATTGGATTAAGGGCTCACCGTACTCCAATATGACCTCATCTTAACTTAATACATCAGCGAACACTCTATTTTCAAGTAAGGTCACATTCTAAGGTTCCAGGAAGGGCAAGAATTTGGGAGGATGCTATCCAAACTAGTATACTGTCAGAATTCTTTGTCTGGGCAAAACCAGGATTTAAGTAGGAAGGAAATGGGGTAGTTTGTTGAATCAAAGCAAGATCTGAAGGGAAGAGTCTGAGAGATTTTAGGGGCTGGAAGCCAGGATTCTGGGCTTCCTGAACATTCTCTTCTGTGCATCTTTCGCAATGTCTCCTCCATACTTGAAAATTTCTCTACTTGGAAGGAGATGGTGGCTGGAGGCAGAGCTGATATATAGCATCCCAGTGTAGCTGCCCAAGGGGAAGACGGTTTCTTCCTCCCAAAGATTCTAATTTGCTTCAACCAGACTATATGCAATGGATTACCATCTCTCATGGCCTAGGGCATGTGTTTCATATGAGGCCCCATGAGATATAATCATGGGTATCACAAGCAAGAACTGGATGATGGGCAAGACCATGAATAGTCCCTAAAAGCATCAACTGGCTTAATGCTTTGATTGGAAATGAATCTTTGGACTTATTAACTGCAGGCCGACCCAGCTGCTTATATACTAAAACCAAAGGGAGCACCCAAGTCCTTTTCACTCCAGCAAGTGTCAGAGGGGTAGGCCTAGCTTGCTCTTATTTGCCATGTGAACAAAGTCATAATGATTTAGGGAAGATGTGATCCTAAAGGGACACCAGCACTCTGCTCCAACCACAGTTGCTTTATAGTTCAGGGCTTTAGGCTTTGATAGGAGCTCTTGTGGTGTAGTAGTTCAAGCATTTGGCTACTAATCAAAAGGTAGGCAGTTCAATTCCAGCAGGAGAAAGATGAGGCAGTCTGCTTCCATAATGATTTACAGGCTTGGAAACCCTATGGGACAGTTAAACTGTGTCCTATAGGGTCGTTATGAGTCAGAATTGACTCAGTGGCAGTGGGTTTGGGTTTTGGGCTTTGACTGGGCAAGATATTTTTGTTCAAAGACCCCTTTGCACCCCCTTGCTTCCTAGACTATTCCACTTTATATGTGATCCAGGTGTAAATTGCCACCCAACCTGGGGTCATCTGTACGATGCCTGCAAGAAGCCACTACATCCTGCAATGTGTTCTTATGTTTTGACGTCACTTATATATACAACTATGCATTTTGTAAACTACTCAAGTGTAATTCCTCCCTTAGATGCCTTATAATAGAAACAAATCAAAGAACTTATCCTTGTTTTTTATATGAATGGCATGTATCATTCAAACACTCAGCTGACAAGTTTCCTCTCACTTACCTTAAAAAACGCCAATGCTTGGTTAGTGATGTACTTGACAGGCAATGAGTAAGTAGACCTATATTTTAAGCTAATGGCAATAATGTCAAAATTTATAACCCCAAAGAAGGATCAGGAAAAAAACATCCATTGCCTCCATTTCTGAGCAGAGCTTGCATAGTTAGGTTTTGGAGGTAATTTTGGGACAAGGTCTGCTTAAATGCTGCCAGTAGCTTCTACTACTCCCTTGGAAAGCATTTTTAGCAGGAGGTAATGGTCTTTTGGCCTCTTTTTACACTACAGGACTGCATGGTTCCAACTAACACAGCTTAATGTGGTTTTGTACAGCCATTGCCAGATTTTGGGAAGAAGAGGCTGAATTGAATCTATAACAATGACCATGTTAGATTTGGATGGTTACTAGCTCTTAGAGCATTTTTCTCTTCTTAGTGACACACACTGATTTTCATATGTGATGATCCAAAGCTCTGGCTGGATTTGAGGAGGGGAGAGAAGAGAGAGGTGATTGAAGTTCAGTTTGGTTCTGCAGAGGCCTGAGGGCCTAGGAAAATATTGTCTCTTACTCCATTCCTCTCTCCCCACCAACTCCTCCTCATATGCCTCACTCTCTACCCCCACCTAGCACCCCTAGGTCTCATCAGCCCATAATGCTCTTCTATGAAATGGAAGGCAAACACACACCCTCCTTTCTCAAAACACTAAAAAATCATCTGTTGGAAAATTCCCATGATAAATAAAATATAAAAAGGATATGATGATTATAACATGAATAGCATTCTCTCAGATACTCTGGGAAGTTCTGGTGAGTTCTTCCAAACTGTCTTTTTTCCTCCAAAGCCACGTGGTTTACTCAGTGTCTCTGAAGTCTGTAGCCAGGGAAGGAAGGTGATGCAAATGCAGACCAAGGTGGATGGATTTCCTTTTTGCAAAAGCAGCTATTTTTGCTTCTGAAAAATCATTGTTGTTACTTGTCTTGGGTCGGCTCCAGCTGATAACAATTTTTTGTACAATAGAACGAAACCTTGTCTAGTCCTGCACCATCCTCACAATCTTTTGGTGTAGCCACTATGTCAATCCATGTCATTGAAGGTGTCCCTCTTTTTTGCTGACCCTCTGCTTTACCAAACCTGATGTACTTCTACAGTGATTGGTCCCTCTTGATGATATGTCCATAGTAAGCAATCCCAGCATTTAAGACCTTTCTAGCTGTACTTCTCCCAAGACAGGTTTGTTCATTCTTCTGAAAATCCATGGTATATTTAATATTCTTCGGCAACACCATAGTTTGAACTCTCCCAATTTGGACTGTTTTTCTGTAAGCCAGTGAGGTGCTTGTATGCCATCATGGGTCTTTGGGAAAGTTCCTATAAGGCTAAGTTAGTGGACCAATATTTACTTTTTAAAGCTATTGCAATGAAAGACTTAAGTAAAGGAGAAATTTTCACTTTGAAAATGCAGTCTCTTTTTATCATGAATGCCAAGGCAGTACATCTGTGTAGGAATTTACACATTCCAGAATGTTGCAATATTCATTGTCCCATTTTCCCACATTTTGTGTTCAGTCACTTTTACACAAATATGGCATCTTGGGTTATTAGAAGATAAGAATACGCACTGAGGTCACACAGCTATATAGAGGGCATAACTCAAACCCAACAATGGATCTGCTTTCAGTGTCTCTAAAATTCCTATATTTTTTGTAAGTACACGGAGAAACTTCTGTATGAATTATTTGTACTCCATGAATCCCTGGCCCTCAATCCCCCTCAATTCATTAGAACTCACTCATAAAGTTGAGATGGGCATGGCACTTTACAATAGGAAGGCCTTCAGGATGCAGTTTTCCAGTTTGGCTTGTACCTTGTACTCTCTACCCTGAGGTAACCAGGCAAAATACTTTGTTCTCAAATGACTTGGAAGCAGTTAGAGCTGATCGACCTGAAGGAGCTCTGAAGAAGATCACTGGCTCTAGCGTTTCATTTGGTGGGAAACTTTGGTGCTCCTTTGGAAAAGGGTAAGTATAAGCTTCTTATAGAATGTAAGTATTTATGCCAATATAAGGAACCTGGGTAATGTAAGCAGTTTGTGATAGGCTGTTAACCTAAAGGTGGGCAGTTTGAACCCACCCAGTGGTTCCACAGAAGAAAGGCATAGCAATCTACTTCTGTAAAGATTATAGCCAAGAATGTCCTATGGAGCAGTTCTACTTCGTAACATATCAGGTCACCATGAGTTGGAATTGATTTGACTGCAACTGCTATCCCAGTATAAGTCTACCCTGCTGAGGGATGAAAGGTCTTAAGAATGGCATTGTACTTGTGCTATGGCCTTGGGTGACCACATGTGGGGAAGCAGGCAGTGAAATCTTCAGAGAGAGTTCATTGTCAGTTGAGACGTCAGAACATCACCGGGATCAGTGCATCTATTTAAAACAAGAGATGCTCTCACCAGTGACTGTTTGTAATCAGTGGTTTGCTTTCCTTCTGCTGCCTGAACAACATAATCCCATCCTTTTGAAAAACAATTACTACTTATCTACCATCTACACTTTGGTCTATAACCCTATTTCCTCTAGTTATATACTTTGCACTGATATCACAGATACAGGAAGAGAAGATTAAAATTAAGATTAAAAAATATCTTTAAAAAAAACAACAGGGGAATAAGAAGAACATGTGAAGGGGTTGGCTCAGCAGAAAATCTCCTTGGGTGTTCTCAGAACCAGAGTTCTCACCACTCAAGGCTCAGGCCTAGAAAAATCTTGACCTGGAGATTTGTCCAAGGTCCATGGTCCCTACGTTTTGGTGGAGAGTAGCCCCATACCTCTTGGAAGGCATCTGGAATGCAGCTGGAAAAGGCCTCCTCCACACAGAAGGCACACATGAAAATACAAAAATAAGGATTTTGTTTCCAAGGTTTCATAAATAACTGGGTGGCAGGTATATTAAATAGGACCATTGAAGAAGATGTGATGTTACAGCTTGTTTTCCTCAAAGAGGATCTGGGCGTAGACCGTGCTGGTGGGGATGCCCTTGGCTGCCTGATGGGGTTTAATCAGCTCCAGCTCCGCATAGGTCAAGCTTTCCTCAGCAATCTTTGGCTATAAAACAAAATACAACAAAATTATAGCTGACCACAGGGAGTTCTACAGCTTTCATTCATTTATAAGCATGTATTTTCCCAGCATTTTAAGGACTCAAAGGGGAAGAAACGTACAAAAATTTTAAGGAATAGAAACAAACAAACAAAAAACACTGCTATCAAGTAAATTCTGACTCATAATGACACTACAAGACAGAGTAGAGCTGCCCCACAGGTTTTCCAAGGCTGTAATATTTACAGAAGCCAACTGCTACATCTTTCTCCCATGAAGTGGCTGGTGGATTCGAACCACTGACCTTTTGGTTAGCAGCTGAGAGTTTTAACCATTGTGCCACCAGGTCTCTTTTAAAGGATATATAAAATCTAAACAACATAATTAATAAAAAAGATTTCATTGTCTTATACATAACATTATACCTTGCAAAGAAAAACTTATTTTCATGTTGATATAGAACAGTCACAAAAAAATGATTAAATACTAGGCCACAAAGTAAACTTTAATTCTAAAAAGTAAAAATAGTGTAAATAGTCTCTGGTCAAAAGGAAAAAATAAAGGTAGATACAGAAACAAATAAAAAATCTTAGAAGTTAATAATAATATCTAGAAAAACTAAAAGTGCTATCATCTAGAATATTTTAAAATAAATGATTTAACTTGTATAAAGCCAAAATTGCAGACTATCTTGAAAATTAATAATAAAAATATTACTTTCCAGAGCTTACATAATATGGCTAACACATTGCTCAGAGAAAAATTCATTAGCTTTATGTACTTATGTTAAGTACTGTAAGTGTAAAGTTTAAGCACTCAGCTGCTAACTGAAAGGTTAGAGGTTCGAATACACCCAGTGGTCCCTCAGGAGAAAGATCTGGTGATCTGATCCAATAAAAATGATAGCCTGGAAAAGCCTCTGGGACAGTTTTACTTGTCACATGGAGTTGCTATTAGTTGGAATCAACTCAACGGCACCTAACAAAAGATGTACATATTGAACAATATAAATTAAATGAATTAAGCATTCCATTCAAGAAATTTGAAAAAGAATAACGTAAGAAATTAAAGAAAAGCAGAAGAAATCAATAGAAATAAAATCAGACTGTATAAATCAGAAAACAGTAAAATCAAACTTATTGAAAAAAAATTCAAAAGCTAGTGCTTAGAAAGCACCAATAAAGTAAATAAACTGATAAAAAGGGAAAAAGAATAAATGAACAATATTAGAAATGAAAACGGACAAATGAAGGAAACCTTGAAAAATTTAAAAAAGACTTTTTTGTTCAACTTGTTGCAAAAATTTTTGAAATATAGGATAAAATAGATAACACCCTAGACAAACATAAATTATAAAAATTAAATCCAGAAAATATAAATGTACTTATTACCACATAAACACAAAAGAAAGAAAATATTGTCAAAGAGTTCTCTCTCAAAAGCACCAGGTCGAAGCACTTTTATAGGAGAATTTCTAAATGAAATTCCTTTAAGGAACCAAAACCAAACCTACTGCCATCAAGTTGATTCTGACTCATAGTGATCTTATAGGACAGAATAGAACTACTCCATAGGGTTTCCAATGCTGAAAATCTTTATAGAAGCTGACTGTCTCATCGTCTTCCCATGGAGCAGCTGATGAGTTTGAACCACAAACCTTTTGATTAGCAGCTGAATTTAACCACTGTGCCACAAGAACTCCTCTTTCAAGGACCAGATAATTCCAAATTAATTGAACTCTTCCAGAGCATTAAAAAAAGAAGTGAAAAGAAAAATTGCATATATTTTAGAACAAGTTAATTTTTTAATGTAAATTATAAATCAAATTTCCTTAGAGAGAATACAGAAGCACATTAATAGATAGATAAGCATGATCAAATTTAGTTTATTTTAGCAATGCAAAGATGGTTCAATATTAGAAAAGTCTATTAATATAATTAGGCACTCTGATGGTGTAATGCCTAAGGCATTTGACTGTTAACCAGAAGGATGGTGGTTCAAACCCACCAGCCATTCCTTGAAAGGAAGACTGGAGCAATCTACTTCCATAGTGATACTACTGCAGAAATTCAAGGAGGGGTCGCTATGAATTGGATCCAACTTGATGGCAGTGAGTATTAATATAATTATTAATATTAATATATCAAAAGAAAAAATCATATAAGTATCTCTACAGATGCTGGAAAGCCATATAATAATTTTTTAAAAACATTTTTGTTAAAAAGTTTCTGAATAAATTATGTTTTTAAAGATAATTAAGGATCATTCTTGAAATGAACAACTGATGATTCAGCTCCAGGAATATTTTTAAAAATATAAATCTGAAATTAAAATACTGTGGTACTGGCAGATGAATAGACATAAATACCACTGGACTGATGAGAAAGTCCAGAAATTAATCCAAATATTATTTTTCAATAAATCGTGTTTACTGAATAGTTGTGTGTGGGGGAAAAAAAAGTTCTTATATCATTCTTTATACCAAGTAAATTCCAGATGAATTCATTTAAATGAGGGAAATAAACCCATAAAAGTACTGGAAGAGCACATGTAAATATTTTTAGAAGATAATCTCAGATTATGGAAGATGTTTTAAAGTATGACACAAAATCCAAGAGCAACAGTGTCATGGATTGAATAGTGTCCCCAGAAATGTGAATCATCACAGCTGGGCCATGATTCTCAGTGGTTTGGATGTTTATATAATGATGTAATCATTCCCCATGATGTGATCTGATGTAATCAGCCAATCAATTGTAAGGGGATTAGAGTGGGATGCAACACCCTTACTCAGGTCACAGCCCTGACCAGATTTTAAGGTAGTTTCCCTGGAGTGTGACTTGAATCACTTTTTATCTTACATGACACAAAAGGAGAGAGAAGACAGCATATATAGAGAGACTTCATTACCACCAAGAAAGAAGAGAGGGGAGCAAAGCATACCCTTTGGACCCAAGATCCCTGCACTGAGAAACTCGTAGATCCAGGGGAAGGTTAAGGCTAACATACATGGAGATCTCAAAGGAATACAGGCCTCACAGATGTTGAAAGGAGACAAGTAACTTCCCCCAGAACTGAAAGAAAAAGAAATCCTTCCCTTAGAGCTACCACCCTGAATTTAGACTTATAGCATTCTAAATTGTGAGAGAGTAAATTTCTGTTTGTTAAAGCTGTCCCCTTGTGGTATTCTGTTATAGGAGCACTAGATAACTAAAAGAGGATTTGGTACCAGGAGTGGGGTGCTGTTTTAACAGATATAAAATTGAAAGTAGTTTTGAAATTGGGTAATGGGTAGAGGCTGGAAGAGTTTTGAGGTTCATAATAGTTAAAAGCTTAGATTGTCTAGAAGATACTGTTGTTGGTAGAATTATGGACATCAAAGGCAATCTGGTGAGGGATCAGAACAAAGTGAGGAGAGCTGTAATATGAGAGATGGCACAGATGGTGAGAACAAGTGGCAGAGAAATGTCAGCAGCAGAACCAAGAGACTGGTGTGAGATGGAGCAAGAGCCAACCCACAGAGCAAGAGAGCTGAGTGGCTTTAGGCAGGAGGCTTCTTGGAGGAGTGGGATGCCTCTGGGTACCTGTCAGTGAAGCTAGGTTTGGCAACCCACAGAGTGAGAGGCTGAGTCCCTCTGATGTGAGGCTTAGTGGCAGAGTGGGTTGCCTCTGGGCACCTATCAGTACAGCTAAAGTGCTTTGTAACACTTACCTTAGCAGGGTGGTCCAAGAAGCCAAAGAACCAGGAAGCAGAAGCTAAAGAGATAAGGAGCATGGGAAGCAGAGCTGCTTCAATCTCAAAGGCTAGGGCCATGACCTCTAGTGTCTCAAAGGGTAGAACTATAGCCTGCTGGGGTTTTAAAGGCTGGGACCATGACTTCCTAGATTTCAGAGTCAGATCTTCATCAACTCAGTTCTGGGCCACAGTTCATGAATGCCAGGAAAATGGGGCCAGATCCCCTGCCAAAGTTTGAGGGGGAGGGGCTGCTAGGCCTGAGGGGTGGGATTGCCTCTCAGTTGGACTGGGAGAATGGGGCCATTCAAAGCTGGGGGAGCAGAGTCACCATCCCAATGAGCCTGGAAGGCAGAGCTGAAGCCAGGGCTGGGTGGTCTCCACTCAGAATCCAGAAAGCATGGTCAATACCCAAAGTCTGGAGGGCAAGGCCATTGTTAAATGGTGTCAGATAATAGAGGGTTATTTTTAAGCCTTGAGAGTTAACATAAATGTTCTGTTTTTGACTTGCTTGGTGTCCATTCTTTTCCTCTAATTTCTCCCATTTGTAATGGAAATGTCTACCTTGTGCCTGTTTCATCATTGTACTCTGAAAGCAGATAACTTGTATTCTAAATTTCACAGGTTCTCAGATGAAGAAGAATTTTCCCAGGATGGGATTTGTAGTTGGAGTTGATTTAAAAGTTTTGGGATGATACAACATGGTGAAAGTGTTTTGCATGTGTCAAGGACATGAATATTCTATGGGGTCCAAAGTGTGGAATGTCAAAGATTGAACTGTGTGCCCCAAAAATATGTGGTAAAGCCATCTATTTGTGGTATTTATGTTGTAGAAGCTCTAGATAACTAAGATAAACAGAACAAAAAATATGTATATTTTCATAAGACATGTGCCAAAATAATCTCCAAATAAAGTCAAAAGACAATTGAAAAAATAGGGAAAATATTTGCAACCACTATCAAATGGACAATTTCTATTATAATCTAACAGTGATAATGACCAAGAACTCATAAAAAAACTAAGCTAAGGATACAAGACAGCACCAGACAGTTCACAAAAGAGGAAATACAAATAACTCTTAATCATGTGAAATGGCACTCAACCTCTCTAACAAGAATAGAATCACTATTTAAAATCCTATTTTGACATCAATTTTTGTCTTCAAGTTCCAAACGTTAAAAAAAAAAAAAGAAAGAAGTTGCTAAAACAAACAGGTCCTCTTGGACATTGTTGGTGGGGGTGTTTATTGATTTAAGCAAAAAACTGGAAGCA